ACTAAAACGTTACGATGTTTATACCCCATCCCTTCACATAAATTATATAAACGTTTTTACACCCCACCTCTTCACGTAAGTTACATAAACATTATTACATCCCATCCCAGCCCACCCCTTCCCCCCGCATAACTCATGCATAACAAGTACAAGAAAACTTACACTAGTATAACATAACATATGCGTGATAAGTACAAAATATTTTGCATTAGTATAGCATAACGTAGATGTCACAATTACAAAAAAAATTACACAAGCGTACCATAATATATAGCTAAGAAATACATAACATAACTTTAGAATAACCGTACCATCCACGTAACATACACGTCGCCTCCAATTCTACGCAAATTACATAAACCTTTTTTCACCCCACCCCACCCCTTCACGCAAGTTATTTTAAATTAAACAATTATATTAAATTAATATGTTTTTATATATATTATGTAGAAATGCCTTTAGTATTTGTCATAATTTATCAATTTTATTGTTTTTTTAACCATGTATAAATTATTGTTTTCCTTCATACTATTTTAATGTATATTTTATATTATAATAAGGCACAATTGACCGCATTGTAACCAATTCATACTATATAAATAATTTCCTTTCATCCCCAATCACACCATTGACCACATCAGCCGAGTAACATATCCTGCTGAACCTTCCTCTTCATAGCTTCATTTATCTCCACATGCAGACCAAATATGCTACAGCCATGACATGCTATGACAATGTCTTCTCTTTATCATCCTTTCACAGCATTTTGTCGTCGCAAAAGCCTTGTCGTATGGATTCAATTGATGTATCTCCCCACTGCACGTCAATCCCTGGCAGGGCCTTGGCTGGACACGTACGCCGGTGCACGGTTCTCATTGGATCTCAAAACAGCTGCGGTACACACACGCACACACACACTCTACACACCTGTTCCCACAACATTCTTGTCTGCAACTTTCGTCCATCACTTGCTATCTAGCACCTGCAGTGTTTTTCTATACCATCCTGTCTGAGGCTACAATGCTTTGCTTTCAAGCATCTTCCTTCCATCTTCTGAGCTTTTCTTCATCGATCCTTGGCTTTTCCTGCGCCACTGATGGCAGATTGCGTTCGAAGAGAGTTTGTTTCACGCATATTTGGCTTGAGTAATAATAGCATTTCCATTTGTTGCCTCTTCCGCGTCGGCGCGACATGCAGCTTGAGCAACTTTTTGAAGCTGCTTCTGCTCCTGTCTCTGAAGTCAAACACTTCAATGCAAACATTTCTAAGCGGCCCTTCGCCAATCAATAGAGACACGAAAAACATTTTGCAACAAGTGGGAACAAAAGGCATTCAACTAGCGCACTTTGTCAGCTTCTTGCGTGCTTCATTCATTTGCTCAAATCTTGTGGGCCTGTAGCACACCGTGAGACGTCTTGTCAAACTAATTCAGGGAAAACATATCCATGTTGGTCAACGTTGTATTTTGAAAGTCGATAGTTGTACACTAAAAACTTCCCAGCTGTATTTGAAATTGGGATTTTGAAACTCAAAGGTTGTATTGCAACTGGAAGATCACATTTCGAAACTCACCCACAGCATGCAGTAGTAGACATGAACTTTATTGCCCCCCACCTGAGCCGCAGTTGCGAGTCCCGTTCCGACAATTGTGCAAGATTAGTTTCCGAGTCCGATGAGTTGCAAAAAAAAAGGTTACCCATGTGTACCCCCCAGAATAGTCGAGCAATACGACCGAATACAATTGTCCTGGGCAGTAGGTGCCATTGTGCATGGGTGCCCCTGCCAAACCCTGCGGCCATGCAGGACTGGCAGGACCCTAGGGTGGAGCAACATCAATAATTTCAACATATTTCAACATGGTGTATTTGAGGTGTCACATGCAACATCCATAGGCCCATAGTGTGTGGAGTCCATCTCGGATGAGGAATTGATCGGATGGCATTTAGAAAGGCCGTCGTTTTTCCATATTGTTGCGTGCATACACTACTGTAAGAACAAGTCTACAAACATCAAATATGTACAATGTCATTTAGAGCAGGTTCAGCCTTTCCCAATGTTCATCTTCAAACTTGTTCTTTGCCAGCTCTATGTGCAAGACCAACCCACCTGGCGGGAAAACAGCTGGGCAGAAAGCGACTCAGCGACGCAAAAAAAATTGAATGACTTGAATCAACACTTTGGCCATGCCGTTGAGACTGGCAGAGTTCTTGTCATATGCCCTATACAAAGTTCACTTTTGTGGGGGCACATCTACCACAATTGATCAAAATTGAGGTCTGTGAGCCATGCCTTCCTCTAGCTGCCAGGAGCTTTCGTCTGGCTGTACCTCGCGAGCCAGGCAAGTATGTTCAACATATATCAATATATTATATATTCTATTCTTAAATGAGCAGTGTTCAAAACCCTTTTGTCGCGCCTTTTGTCGTCTGGTGCCAGCAGTTGGCGGTTGCAGACTGCCGGCAGTGAGAAGATGTAGCTTGAAGCTATCGCTGGCTTTGCCAGAATCTATGCAGCCCGTGCTCTGATTGACTGGCCTTTGGAGGCGGCCGCACGGCTTCCGCAGGTCCAGTCTGGTGCAAGATGGTCATCTTAGTGATGCGGACGTCCCCCAAGGTTGAATCCAGCCAGTTGCGGATCGAGTCAGCATGGGTGTCTGAGATTCGACACAGGATCCCCATCGTCCAACAATGGAATCTGGGATTGGACGGTCTGCCATCAATTGGTTTGTGATGGGGGTACTGGAGCTTGATGAGGTTCAGCAAATACGCCGCCCACGAACGCAGTGCTTGTTTGCCGCAGTACTCCTGTAACCTTGGGTTCATGCGCCATGTATTGTGGCTCGAGGTACTCTCAGGCCCCCATTCCCCTGCATAGAGTTGATAAGACACCAGAAGTTCGTACCAACTTAGCCACCGTGGTGCAGCTGTCTGGTCGTCAATCTCTCTCATCCAGTCCAAAATGGTGAGCCACTTGGGGAACCGTAGGTTTGCCGGGGCTGCATCGACTGCCTTTTCCGCTATAGCGCGCCACTCCAGAATCATGGTGTCTGGCAAGCGATACACTGGGGCCGGAGAAGGAGCCGCAGTGGTCACGGCTAATTGCGCAACTCGCACCATATGGGAATGCACATGTTGAACCACTTCTTTGGCGTTGGCCACTGCTTCTGATGCCTTCTGCTGGTGATGGCGGACATTGGGTGGGAGGTTTTCCAATGCCCATGTGGCGAGCAGGTCCGCCGTGTCATTGGCCGAACACGCCCACTGAACCCAGGATTCATCACCCACATAGTCCTGATGCGACCTAATGTGGTGGAGGCTACATACGCTGGAATCAGGCAGTCGGTCTTGTACGATCATCCACAAATCATGGTCTGTGCATATTGAGGTGACTTCAAACGTACCTTGCTGGATACGGCGGGCCCTCTTGACAATAACTTCACAGTCACTCCAGATTGCAAAAGTGGTGCCCGTGGAAACGCCGAAACACAGGGCGGAGACAAATGCGGTGAGTTCAGCTCTCATCACCGTCTGCCATTGTCCACGCACCCCTCCCCACGCAAGCGGTGCGTGGGGGGTTTGTGGGTCTACCCCTGCAAGGACTACTGCCCATGCCACCAGTCTGGTTTGTGGTCGTTTGGGGTCCAGGCCTGTCCCATCACAGAAAAGGTCAAAATGTGACTGGGCCCCGGCGTGGGCGTAGTTACACATTGTGTCGGGTACTTCTGCCAGGCTAAGCTTGTAGTCTCTTACCTCCTTGGGTTCTGGCATCCATCCATGCTGGCGTAGGCATGGTTCCATGGTGTCAATCCGTGCCTGCACTGAGGGAGGGATCAGGGCCCTGCTTGGTGCTGTGGCTGGGCATTGCCAATGGCGGTGCTCCACTGAGTCCTCTGCTGAACATCGTGTGCAAGCCGATGAGTCAGTGAATCCAGAATGCTTTAGGCAATCAGCCGTGTAAAAGGCCCTTGTCTGCGCAACTTGAAGGAAACCTACAGCATCCGGGGCGTGCTGAGTGCGATCAATCTGAGAAATCATGGGGCAAACATAGCGGAGGCCCTGAAACCCTTTGCGGTGCTCCCACCGGCGGCCTACTGCATGCTGCCAGGCTCTGCTCAGGCGAGCTTTCAGCTCTTGCCGTGGGGTGTGCAAGATGTGGATGCTGCCACCTTCACCATCTCTGAAAATCCCATTCTGGACATAACTCCAGCAAATTTGCTCCAGTCTGGTGACTAGGACTCCTCCAGGGCCCGGTTTGCGTCTCCGGGGAGGAGTGATTGCTGCTTGCTGCAACGTAATGTCCAACAGGTCTTCCATGATGTGGCGGCGAAACTGTGTGACGGTGTTCCACAGTGCATAAAACTCGGGATCTGAGCTCACCGTGGCCACCAGTGACAGGAAGATCTGTGCATTGGCTCCTGACTTTTGCATCCCAATGGCCTTGAATGCTCCTGCTCTTGCTTCATCAAAATGGGCGGGACCAATATGAACTATGGAACCTGAATACAGTGTTCGCGGCCATGCAACTACTCTGAGAACCTTGAGTTTTTGCGACTGAGGGGCATGACTCCGAGCCAACTTGTGCCAGAGTTCAGGAAGCTGGCGGAATTTGGCCAGGACAGTGCCATTGGTCTGGTTGGCTGTGTACTGCATGTGCGCTCCCAAGTCTTTGGCAGACCGAACTGGAAGGTCATTTTGGGCCCTCAGGTGAGCTCTGCCAGCTGCATCACAAGCCCAGTGATACGTCTTGTTGACATCAAGCTGGACATCCAGAAGGTCACAAAACCCTTGAAGGGAAGACAAGGCTTTGGTTGTTTGCTCAACTGTCGGAGCTTGCAACTCATAATTGTCCACATAGGTGGTGAACACTGTCTGAGGATGCTGGTGTTGCATATACGCATGCACAAGTGCGTTGATCAGCACCATCCCTACCACACTCATCCCGCAACCTTCGACAAACCCGGTGGTGGATGTGACCTGTGCTGACGGGCAATCCCTTACAACAAAATGCCGCTGCAGATGAACTGTGGAGGCTGACCAGGCTCTAATGATGTCTGGATGAACTCCCAGCGACGCCGCAGCCTGAAATGTCACCAGGCGGGGCAAGTGATTGAAAGCCTTGCAAAGGTCGGATACTGCACCTGTCAGTGGCTCACCAGCATACATCGCCTGCTCGATTCTGTGCTGCAGCGTCCACCACAAACCAATTGCCTGTTTTCCAGGGATATTTCCAAGCAAGGTGGGCGGAAGAACCTTAGCCAAGTGTTGGAGGACTTCCCTTGCTCTGATGGATGAATAAATGCGATATGCGCATGGCATTATCGTTATCGGCCTGTACTGCGAGACTTTCTCTGCATTGGCCGTTTTCTCTAATGCATGCACCGCCCCTTGGAGGAGTTGCTGGGGCCATTGCCCTGTACGTTCTGCGTGCCTGAAAATTTCCGGCAATTGTTCATGCAAAACGTCGGGGAATGACAACAGGTCTTTTCTTGCCAATCCATCCAATCCAGTGGCTGCGGTAGCCTTCTTCGACTTCAGGGCATGCTTCCACTTGGCAAGCGTGAGAGGAGCCAATTCCATCTGTTCTGCATGAAGGATGGACTGCGTTAGGGCGATCACCTCATCCCAGTGGGTGGGATCCAAATGCTTGTGTCGGTCCCATCTCTTAGTCCATTCCTGGAGGAATGCACTGTGCACTTCTTGGACTTTGCCTTGCAACTCTACTATGGCCACCTCGTCGCCTGGCACCAGAGTGTGAGGAGAGGTGAACCAGATCTGGTTGGCCTCTATATGTATCACCTGCATCGGGCCAGTGCGTGTTTCAAGGACAGCTGCATCTTGGATCGGCGTAGAGTCTGCGACCTCAACTGATCCCTCATCGACCACTTCTGTGACCTGAGTTGATGCCTTGGCGACTAACATGCTGACTGGGACTGGCATGGGGCGTCGAACATCCTTGAAAACTCTGTTGGTGTCCTCGATGCGGTTTTGTCTTGCCTGGGCAACCCTTTGCTGGATGATTCGGGATTCCATTGCAGACAAAACGGCCAAGAAATGGTCACTGATGTGTTTTGCGATGGCAGGGTTTGGTGGGTCAACTGGGATCCATGGAAGGAGGTTCGGGTGGTCACTGGCTTGTTCGGCCCACCACTTGGGAAATCCTCCGGAGAATCCCAGTGCTTTTCGGATAGCCCTCCAAAGAGCGGCTCGGTGCTCGATGGCGTTGGGAGTGATGCTACCCTTACCAATGTGCTTTGCATAGCTTTGGAGCCGTCGACACTGAGTGATCCAGCGACTGTGCAGCAGTGACCATGTGTGGACCGAGGGTTGGTAATCTCCCTGTCTAGCTGGTTTGACAGGAGCAACAACTGAGTGCCTAAAGGTGCGTTTCAACGTGTGACCCCGTCCCTTTTGGTTCGGTTGGAGTCCAACTTTACCCTTGGCCTTGAGGCAATCCTGCACATGTTGTTCAAACTTGCGGCAAATGGCTTTGTACTGCTCCGTGGGATCTCCCTTGATTGGTGCGGGGGAGCAAGGGGTGCTTGCAATGGTCTTGCTGTCGATGATACTGTAATCTATCGATGCTGGACGGTCCCACCTTGGCTGAGGTTCTGGTTGGCTCGGGTATGTGAAATTCCCCATGAGCGTGGAATGGTCCGGCCAGCGGTCAAAGGAATTGGTGCATCCTGACAACATTGCTTGCAATTCAGGAGATAGGTATACAAAGTCTTTCCTGGAAGTGAATTGGCAAGTTACTCCTGGGCTGATCCCATACCTCTCGGCTGCCCATGTTTGGACATCTCTCCATCCTTTCTGCTCCCACTTGGTGGTTTCGGACAAGACCCCAGGAACTTGGTTGAAGTCCCCTGCTATGAACGCCGGGCCTTTGAAGCCGTGCATAACTTGCCTGGCGACTTCCTGCAAGAGTCGGTTTGTGTTCTCTTGCACCGCGGGGGAGTCAGCATCTTTGGCGTACCCATAGCATACCCCTCCTGCGATCCAGGTGTTCTGAACCATGAACACTGCTGCATGGATACGGCTGGTCTGGTAAAGCTCTTCATTCCATCCACTAGTGACCGGTCGGGTCGGGAAGTGGGTCAAGAATGCCACTCCTGTATGTTTACCACCGACAGCCTGGATGGAGTCTTTCTTCAGCGGGGCTCGGTACCCTGGGTACAACTTGAGGCTAGACTTGGCATGGAAAAGCTCCTCGCGGAATCTGGCTTGACCACGTGCTGAGAGATGTGTTTCGGAAATTGCATAGATTCCTGCTGGCATGTCACTGAATTGCTTTGCCTTTCCGGAAAGGCCTGTCGGGTTGATGGCAGCAATTGCCCATCCTTCGTTTGCTTGCTGTGGGCCAGGTTTGGATGCCTCCCCTAGCCGATGCATGCACAGGAAAGATTTGCTACCTTCATTGGGCGGACTGGAGTGGAGGCCGGTGGGTAGAAAGCACGTATCAATGCTTTGCCCACTCAGTCCCTCGACTGTCTTGGCTATGGACCAATACCGCAAAAACCAACAGGCATTATGGTACTCCGGAGTGGCCTGTATTCCGGATTCCGGCACATCACCATCAGCATTCTGACTCTGTGGACATGGGCCGATGCTTCTGGAAGAGCAGGGCTTGCTTTCCTGGTTTGGTTGGGCCGAGAAAACCTGATTGTCTGCGTTGGCAGGGGTTCTCATTGCTTGTGGGAGGCGAACGCTTTGAATGAGCGAGACTTGTTCATCATCAGGTGCATCCTCCGGGCTGTCTACTACCAAGACTTGGCTTGGGTTGGGCATGCTCCAAAGGTTATATTCCTCAACTAATTCCCCAAAGAATGCAAAAGAGTCTTGTCCAATTCCTTGATAACATGCCATGGCAATGCATCGTGTGGAAGTGGCCTCATCCTCCTGGTTCGGTGGGGGAAGAATCACCCTTAGGTACGATCCATCGGTGATTTGCATAGTCATCTCAAAATCCAGTTGGATCATCAGACCACGCAGCAGCAGCAAGCAGGCTACGATTGTAACGACAGTAGGGCAGAAGGTGCATGGATTCCAGAAATTGGTGGTTGGTAAGGTCTCTAGGGACAAACATTGCAGTGCGGATGATCTCTGGATCCCACCGTGGAGCTGGCGGGTGAAATTCGACATCGATGAGTACCATGGCTAATGGGCCTTCTTCGCTGGGATCATCTTGGTATCTTGCCAACATACCCCTGAGCCTTGACTGCAGAAGATCTTCTGGGCAGGGTGTGACAACATACTTGGCGGCCAGTTGTGCCACAGTCCACCCCAACGCTCTGGCGCATTGGTGATGCTGTACGCGCGGGCGAATCATGAGGAGACTAACCTGCACTGGAGGCTGATGCACGGTATAGACATAGAAGTTACGCCAGGTCGGATTATCTTCACTGGTGGAACTATCATCATCGGAGGATCCGGGATCCTCGTCGCCATCAAACATGTTTTCCTGTGCAGCAATTGCAGGATCGTCCACAAGGTGTGGGGCTGGAGTTTCTCCGACCTTGGTTGGGCGGAGATGCACACCTGCAGCCATGAATGCAACGACGTCAAAGTCTGTTGGCTGGTCTACCTCATGGGCTACCTTGGTGTGCCCGACCTTGACTTGCATGACTTCCTGTCGGCTGGCACTTTCTTCTGACTGGGCATTCTGGTAACCCGGAGTTGCCCATATTCCGGGGCATGAAAGATTCTTCGAGCATTGTTGCACTGGTCTAACCTGGGCAGTCGAATCGGGAATGCCCTGGGTGCCTGGTGTCTTCTCATAAACTTCGACCCCTCTGGCGGCGTCTTCCCCGTCATGTGGACCCTGTGCAGCATGTCCTGACCACATGTGGGCATCCTGGCAGCCCGGAGTGGCCGCTATTCCGAGGCATGAAGGAGAGGCATGATGGGCTGGAAAGGGTACTTGCGACCCCTCCCCTGGCATGAAGTCCATCCGGCCACGGGTGTCCACTATAAATTGCCATAGGTGTTGAGACCTATCCCATGCTTCGACCCCCTTGGCAGAGACCTCTACATCCTGTGAGTTAGAGGCTCCTTGCCATGTCTCACAGTGGGCATTCTGGTAACCCGGAGTGGCCCATATTCCGGGGCATGAAAGAGGATCTGGATGGTCTGTATTGGGTTCTTGCGACCCTACCGCTGGCTGTCTGTCAGGTTCTTGCGTCCTGCCCGCTGGCTGGTTGTGGGTCATCCCGCTTTTCTTTTCTTCTGGGTGCTGGCTTCCCGTCCGCTGGCTGTTTTCTGGTTCTTGTGTCATGTCTGGATCCTGGCTGTTGCAGGATCTACATTGCTGGTTGAACATCTCCCAGATGGCTAGCCTTCGAATGGGACCACCACGTGCAATGGTATGATTATGCCTATCGCAAGGGAGCTGGGCACGGCATTGATGGTATCCTCGCTTGGGTTCTGCGGCCCTGAGCAAAATGGGGCTTTCACCGCTGTGCTCTACGAGGATGGTCTTGGGAGTCCTGATCTGGGCATTCTGGTAACCCGGAGTGGCCCAAATTCCGGGGCATGCAATTAGCTGGTTGTGATCGATCATGTATTCCTGTCCTTCATGCCCAGCCCTTGCCGTGATGCCGGGTTGAAGCATGCAGGGCTCTACTTCAGTTGCATAGGGATACGCTTGTCCCTCTGGTCGTGCGTGGGCAACCCTGGTAGGGACCCCATGGAAATTGTGGAGTTCAAGGGTGGCCCAGGTGTTGGGACATCCATAGCTGTCGGCCATTCGGGGGACCTGCTCATCTGGCTGGGCATTCTGGTGACCCGGAGTGGCCCAGATTCCGGGGCATGAAAAGGTGCTGAGGCGGTGTGGCGCTGGTCCTTCCTTGGCAATCACGGCCTCTGGGCCATTGGTGTGAAGTGGCCCATTAGATGCTTCAGCCCCTCCGGCGGAGGTCTCTTCGTCCCCTAGGCTGGGTGCAACATGCTCTGACTCCTGATGGGCATTCTGGTAACCCGGAGTGGCCCATATTCCGGGGCATGATATGAAGTCTCGATGTTCTTTCAAGGGTTCTGGCGACCCTGCCGCTGGCTGTTTGTCAGGTTCTTGCGACCTGCACGCTGGCTGGTTTTTGGTCATCCCGCTTTTCTTTTCTTCTGGGTTCTTGCGTCCCGTCCGCTGGCTGTTTTCTCGTTCTTGTATCACTACAAGATCCTGGCTGTTGCAGGATCTGCATTGATGGTTGAGAACCCTCACCCTGATGGCGACCTGTTGAGTAAGGCCAACGGAGGCCTTGTCCTCCACACTACTGGCACTTGGATGAGTCCATTTACAAGGGACCTGGGCCCGAGCAAGGAGGTGTACTCGCTTGGGATCTGGGTCACTGAACAAAATGGGATAGCCCTGGCTGTTGCAGGGTTCATCATAGGATGAAAATTGCTGATTGGGGTGATCGACAAAATTGAAGCATCTTTCTGAGTCTCTGAGGGCATTGTGGTAACCCGGAGTAGCCCACATTCCGGGGCTGGTGCAGATACCTGGGTCCTCCCTAACCACAGTGGAAACCTGCTGTGGATGATTCGATTGGGCGGCTGATCTGGACTGCTCTACTGTGGGTCGGGTGCCGGAAAACTTGTGGATTGCGTCAGGCTGAAATGCATTGCACTGCGATTCAACGACTCTGAGTTTGTTCCGACCTGAGTACCAAGACAACTTCTCTGTCTGCACCGAGTTGCACAAAATTGGCACAGGACTGCAATGGTGGAAAATTGTGTGCAGGTGGCTCTTTTCTGGCATGGTCCGCTTATCATGACATGACAAGGACTTACGACTGGCCTGACTGATGGTGCTGCACTGAGTGAAGCTTGTGGGTGGTATGCACCCTGTGAACGCATGATATGGATCATACCTGCTTTGGTGACACGACGAAAGAGCCGAACAAAACTGCCTGGGGCTAGGTTGGCCAACTTCTGGTTCTACAGGTTGAGTGGCGGAAGCTGCCTTCTGTGGCATTGAATGATTGCCAGGGATTTGCACCTCATGGATTCCTGATGGCTGTGCACTGACTGAGGCAAGCAGAGGGCTTAAGCTACCGACCTCCTGACTTCCCAATCCAAAGGCCAGGGCTTCGCAAGGTCCTTGGAAATCCCAAAATGGGAGTGAAACATTGGATCTACTCAGAGTTTCATCCTGATGCACCCCTGACTGTGGCATAGGAACATACCTAGCATCGCCTTGGATAGTGCTACCGGCTGCAACTGGGAAAAACCACATGAGCATCCACAAAAGGCGGAAAAGGGTGGGCGTCATGGAGGATGTGCGTCCCCACCGCCCCCACCGTCATTCATTGGAGCGGGCTCGCTTTGTCATGAGCATTTCGATGCGATGCATTTGGTCCTGAAGCTTCGAATCCAATGACGATTCAAACTTGGCAGCCTGATGTTCCACCTGTTTGTGCAGGTAGTCCACTTTGCCGTCCAGCTGGGTGGAGTGCTTCTGCAACTGCGCCATTTGTTGTTCCAACGCCAGAAGTCGTGGCTCCATGGACGGCGTCATGTGCTCATCCTGATCTGCCATGCGATGTTCCAAATGCTGCGAAATCTTTTGGTCAATGGAGGCTTCCAGTGACGTGAGTTGTGCCGCTGTCACCTCCGGCTGGCGGTTCAGCCGCTGTGCAGATGCTGCCCAAGGGTCATTGTGGAACACCTCGTCATGCTGGTGAACCTGGAGTTCCTTTCTGGATGCCTGAGCTTGGGGTGGTTTCCATGTATCTTTGGATGATTGGGGATCTTGGTGGATAATCACATCACCATGTTGCAGTTGATAAACCAAATGTCCTGGCGGCGAATTGGCATGCACCAACCACATGAGTCCGCTGGAATCCTTGGCCTTTTCGACTGAGTGCACTGCTTTGGCAACCCATCCCCACTGTTGGAATAGCTGCTGGATTGCCTTCTTGGTGGTTCCCCATGGAAACGGCCCCACCCGGTAAGTTGATCGACTTGGGCCTGAGATGAAAGGTGTCCCTGGACTCACCTGATCATGGACCTTGGATGCGTCTGCAATGGGCACCTTAAGACCATACCTGGCTCCGACCCTGATCAGCGATGCCTTGGTGTCCAACATTGACTGCAATGCTACGATTTCACTGTGAGGTTTGCGAGGAATCCACACCGTATGGTATGCTTCATCTTGTGTGCGGCCGTCATCCATGCGTGGCTCGAAGTAAATGCCATCATTACCAGACTTGGTGTACAACTGATGGAAGATTGGTACCGGAACCCGCATGGCCACTGTGAAGAGTTGCGCCTCATTTGCTTTTGCCTTCTGGAAGTGTATGGTGAGATAATCCCTCTGCCATACATCTAGTATGGGAGAGTCGTTGCCTTGGTCATGTGGGTGCCAGCGGCCGCACTGACATGCTGTGTCTTTGCACACCTGCAACTCCAATATTTGGCTGATGATGTACTTGACAGGATGTCTGCAAACAGCGTTCCAGTCGGATGTTTGGTCTCTGTAGACCAGCACCTTGATGCATTGGGTGGCGATCTGGTCAATGGCGGGTGCTTGTTGGGGAACATTGCGGACAATCCCAACCTTGCCCTTTTGAATGAGCACAGCCGACACTAGCAGCGGCTCCCCTGTGACCTTGCTTTGGACCGGAAACCTGTGCACTTCTCCTTGGGTCGCCAGCTCAGCTGAGTACGGGGACAGCACCAGAAATCCGAGTCCGTGGCTGGAGCTAACCTGATGCTTGAGATATGGCTGTACCTCATCCTCCGTGAACACCACTACTCCTTGCGCTGACTGTCCAATTTGCTTGACGCTCAGTTGTGCAATCATCTCTCCAGTTTCAAGGCGGAAGATCCCATTGGGGATGCTAATGTCCTGCGGGTGCAGGTGCATTGGCATGACTTGCTTGCCCTTGGACGTGCCCTTAGCCTTGACTGAGCCTTTCTGTTTCGTGCGTGCTCTGATTGTGGCCTGCAGCTCATCTTCAAGCACCAAACGGATCGATGGTGTGTGGGTGGTTGCAAGATGCTTCAGTTGTTGCCACGGCCTGTTGGCAGCGAAAACCCCAGCCAGTGCTTGATGGGACAGGGACCGCAGTACCATAGACGCTCGTTCTTGTACTCTTTCCGCAAAGACTCCATGCTCTCTCAAGATGGCTCGAAGGGCAGTTTCCAATTCCGATTGACCTCCTAAAATGAGGCTGATCTGCGCAGGTTTGGTGATCAAGGTCTGTTGCCAGTACAGTTGTCTCCAACCGGATGCTTCCACAGCATTCAACTGCGTGCCATCGATGTGAGTGCATTGACTGATCAACCACGCATATGCCTGGAAACCACAATCCTCCGCAAAATTGGACGGGAACACTGGGTGTGTGTACACTGCCCCTTCCCAGGTCGGGAAAAGCATTTTCCACAACTGGCAACCCTCATCGGTGGTGTGCACTGCAAATGTACGAGACCCTGGGACAAGCCAAACCGGAATCCAGTGATGATTGACCCACACCATTGTGGCAATGGCTTCAATAGGCAGTTCTGCCCACCATGCCGTTGCAACTGCCTGCATACCTTGGACGTGCTGTGTCACATAGCTCTCAAGGTCACCTAGCCATTCTGCTGCCTCTGTGTGCAGGTCAGTAAGTGAGTGGAGAATGAGCGGGTTCCAAGATTTGGCTACTCCAACCGTGTCAATCGCACTCAGATAATACTGCATTTCATCTAGTGCAACTGCACCTCCTTGCAAAAGAATGGATTCATGGCGCGGCCTGTCCTGCAAGAGGTATCCACGATCCTGCATCGTCATGACCTGAGCTGGCAGTGGGAATTGACTAACAACAATCCACTTCAATGAGCTCAACTTCATGTCAGCTTGGAGTGGCTGTCCGACCAGATCAGTGCAATATTGGTATTGGACATCCATTGAATGCAGTCCCTGAAACCATTCTGACACTGTAGGATCTCCCGAAAATTCATGGCGGCAAATCTGGTGAGAATCTGCGTCATACACCAACAGACCTGGGCTAAGCACCTCAGACATGGGAAAACAGACTTCAGGGGGGCAACTCAATTTTGCCGGCATGTTCGGCTTGGCCAGTTTCTTGGGACTAGAAACCATGGTGGCAAACGCTTGAATCGCACCTGTGTTGGTATCCCACATGGGAGGGCCGGCACCTGCTTTCATGGGCATGCATGAATTGGGATTTGATGCTGCGGGTGTGCTGACCGGCTGCATGGGCACCTGATGGCGTGGCTCTTGAACGGCCTGATTCTGCGTGCTTGGGCTGATGTGGACTTGAGGGACACTTGGGACCGACTGAGACAGACCTGGCAAGGGTTCTTGCGACCCAACCGCTGGCTGTTTTGCAGGTTCTAGCGCCCTGCTCGCTGGCTGTTTCTGGGTCACTCCGCTTTTCTGTTCTTCTGGGTCCTTGCGTCCCGTCCGCTGGCTGTTTGACTCCTCTTGTGATTCAACTGGGCTCTGACTGGTGCAGAGCCTGTCACTGGTGTTGGAAACCAGGGCTTGATTGGCATGTTTCTCCTCCTGTGCGACCACAGGTCCTGGTAAGTTGCCTGACGTGAGATGCACTGAGGGCGGGCTGCTGATCTGTGGTCCTGGAAGATTGTTCAGAACCATGGCATTCCCTTGGATCGGCTTGTCAGTGGTGCTTGGTGGCATTTCACGGACTTGAGCCTGAAGTGAGGTTGTCCCTGCCTTCCTCTCGATGTCATCAATTGCCTTTTCAATGTCGGCGTCCTGACTGGGTGACAATTCCCCACCTGGCATCGGACGTCCTTCAGCTGGGACAGGGTTGAGGAATTCCTCAATGGTTTCCTGAAACATGTCCATGGCAACTGTGTTGTGATGATGAAACCAAGTGTCTCGCAGTTTGAACACTTCTGCAGCAACACAAGCAAGAATTTGCTTAGGAGGAATCTTGGGGCCATCGCAAAATCCATGTTCAATCAAATGATTCAAAATGGCTGCAAAGATCCATGCCGACTGAAGTGGAGATGCAATCTGCCCTACACCTGCCGTGAGTAACCTTTGATGATCAGACCACCCTTCTGCTTTGGGGTATCCCACCAACACTGCCATCTCACGAGCCGACAAATGCCTGACATTGCGATCCGGTGCCTGATTGGGGACATGAGCCAGGATCCCAAACAACCCTTGTGCTTGAAGGCGGCTGCACGACAGTGGGCCTCTGCAACCACAGGCGCAATCAACTCCCTGGTTACCCCAACCATGCAGGGCTGTCGGCAGGGGTTCTGTCATGTTCAACATGTGCCCACCTAGGCCTTTTCCATACTGCTCGAAAAGTCTGCGCTCCTCAACTGACAGTGTCAACTCTTGCAACTCCTGATCACTCATTTGGAGTAAGCTTGGGATCAAGCTTGCAACTGTGGGAGCAACCTGCAGCTTGGGGAACGGAGGGATGCTTACCCTACCCATGTGACTCTTCAGCAAGATGGACCACCACCTCCTTCGCTTGGATGGCCATACATCGG